AAAGGCAAATTACAGGTTCATACTTACATAGCATCTATGACTCCCATACCAACCACCGACTCTCAAAGCAACCAGTGACTTTCCATAGCAACCAGTGACTTGCCATAGCAACCAGTGACTTCCATGGAAACCATTGACTTTAAATTTTCAAACCAACCAGTGACATCAATTGCGGCTAGATTTGTCCATATCATACATTTACTTCCATAGCAACCACAAATTCGCATACCAACCAGTGACTTCCATAGTAACCAGTGATTCCAATAGATAACATTAACGTTTTTGTTTAAAACCAAGCAAGTCAGCAAAACAGATCATTCTTGCTAAGAAAATAATTAATTCAAATTCAACTGTTTGGTACAACAACGTTAATTACTATTTTATCTTTAACATACTTTATATTCTTTTTCACTCTATTTTTCGGGGGAAAAAACAACAACAAACATTAGGTTAATGAAATAATTAACCAAGAAAAAGGTTGATAAATTTTGTTATTTTTAGCACTTGAAATAGAGATGCACTTTACAAAAGTCATGCTTGAGTTGTTTTCTTTTATTCGGTTTTTACTGTGTCTGATTGTACTCTTCTTGTATATATAATTCATGTTTTACTTTTTGAAATAGCAAATTGTTTAATCCAAAGAAGCAATTATACATTTGAAGTAATAAATTTATTGAGTTCTGAGTAAGGATAATATACATTATATGGTTAATTAACATAAGGCACAAATTCTCGTTACCCAAGGTATGGCATCAACCACTAAAGGGAAGTCAGTAAGAAAGACTGACTTTGCATTGGACAGGTCAAAGAGTTTGTCATTTGATTGGACAGAATTTGAGAGGGTATTTGCATCAGGTGATTGTTAATTTTCTTTTTCATATCTATTAGTTAATAATTTTTAAGTAATTATAATTTTATCATTCAATGTGATCTGGTATCATTTATATACTTTCTAACATTTTCGCTGAAAGGACCGCATAAAATCAGTTTGGCTTCCTGTGAAATTTACAGAAAAGAACTGAATTAAAGTAGAATTTTCATTTATCATTTTAAAATAACTGAAAACAGGGAATCTCAATGCCCATTTTAAAATTAGTAAAGAAGTATTGGTGAAATATTTACGCTTCTCATGTTTAATTGAAGGTGTTCCGGAAACGAACTTTCTTCTCAAGGCTCTCAGAGTTTAAATTCTTTCACTTTCAGGCTAAGTTATTTAGATATTTCAGTTGTGTTTAACCATGTTTCGTCCCACAAATTTTTTTACCTTTTTTTATAAAATCTGATTACATTTACTTAGTTATAAATGTTTTCAAAAATAACATTCCTACCAATACTTTTAAATACGAATGAAATTATAAGAGTAAGAGGATCTTTTGTACGCGGTGAGGTGTTTGATATTTGCTAATTGATTTTATAGTGGAATTGCTTGGGATTATGGGTACATACCTTATTTTACATACGTCAGTAATGGTTAAAAGACAATTTACATTATTTTTTTATTTTGTTTTATGATTATTGCTCTTACCAATTTTGTATCACTTTCTAAAGAATTGCGTCATATTATACAAATATAACAAAAAGCATAGGTTCTGCGTCGCAGAGTGAAGATACTGCAAATACATAAAATAGCACAATACATCAACTCTTTGAACAGGTTGTTGCACTTAATGAAAAGAACACTGCAAAACTATTTGCAATCAACTTTAAATTTCCACAAGTAATAACTGTTATTATTTCATCATTTAACAAGCATTGGTAATATTTCTTCATGGAAATGCTTTTTGCAAGTAAAAGCAGATTAGTTCTTTCTTTAAAAGATGCTTCTTGTTATATTGAATGTCATTCCAGTACCACGCATTAATATGTTTTAAAAAAAGATTTTCTGACTATGAACATATTGTTATATAAATGATATGTTACATTTCTTTATTTGCCTTTTTGTTACATATAAGAGTTCAATACAAAGGCAGGATTCGAGCGCTTGGTGAGTTTCTTATCAGAAATCTCGAAGATCATCGCAAAACATCTGAACGTGATGTTCGCAGCAAGGTGCTCGACTTTCACCATCCACATCAGCTGCGAGAGCAAATGGATCATTGACTTTATGTTGACGAGAAGCCACGAGATTTGGAGCAAGTACTGAGTGACTGTAAAGAAACGTTGAAGTATTGCGTTAAAACTGGTAAGAAAGTAATCCCAACCATTGCAGAAGCAAACAATAAGTAATAAAACTAAAACAAACAATAAGTAATAAAGTTAAAGGGCTTTTACTTGTTAACTATAATTACATTCTCATAGCACACAAGTGAATAGCATGATGATTTTAAAACATTGCCATCACGCAAAATTAATTTTTATGTGAATATGAATATCTGCCAAGTGTTACAGTATATCTTTTGAATGGATCAAAGCATTAATAGAGTTAATTCTTACCGTGTGTATTTCTTTAAGCCCATCCAAGATTTCTGAACCAATTATCAACTGGTATTGACATAATTGGTCTTTCCGCTGAATGGGTCACCGCCGCTGCTAATACTAACATGTGAGTTTAGTTCATATTATAACAAAATATCCGACGTCACGTTTTATGATGATCATAACGGAAGAAAATTGAACTTAACCTTTACTCAATTGCAAATAGAAAGTAAAAAAAGAACAAGGTCACTGTTAAGTACATTTATTAATCAAAAACCTTAGAAACGTATTACATCTTTTGAAATTTGATAATGTATTTATTAAAAAAAATATGCAACAAAATTGGTACTTGCGATCTTCATCAATAACATAGTATCTCAAAGCTTATATAGCTGAATCGGCTTTCAATTTTGGGTTTTCTTATTCAAATAAAAAGTGAGATAGCCTAGTCAGACATCACGGGTACGCAAACTTGTCTGGGCAAGGCTACATGCATCCAGTTCCAGCAGAGTAAAAGTTTATAAAGATATTTTAATAAGTTACACTCAACCGTATTTTTACATTTTAACTATTATCTAAAGCAGCGTTTATATTGTTGCACTAATATATTTTTCACGAATGGAATTAAAGGTTCACCTATGAAATGGCTCCAGTGTTTACCCTTATGGAGGAAGTGATTCTTGTGCGCATGCGTCGATTTATTGGTTGGACGGATGGTGATGAAATATTTGCTCCAGGTAAAGATCGATGATTAAGGTAGAACGCGACACTTTGCAACTTTCGAGTAGCGTCTTGAAAATTGGCATGTAAAAAGCTGATCATTGATTAGAACAGAACAGAACAGAAAGTTTATTTTGACGTATACAAAGTACATAGTCAATTACATTAATACATTCATTCATACATACATATATACAATCACAAAATCAATGGATAGTCTGCAAATTTCTTGAAGGTGAACAATTTAATCTATTTTATTTCCTTCAGTATAGGATATGACATAATCAGTTTAACATATATTACATAGTTTAATATTGTGTTACGAACATGTTGACAAAGATAGCGTGAATTTCACATACATTATTGTGCCACTTGCAATAAATTTATCTATATATACGTAATCAACATCCGATACAAGTGAATAACCAACTATAGTATCACACTATATACTATAACTGTGCACAGTCATAAGACATATAACTAATAATCTATTTAATTAGAACTGTACGGTTGACCAGAAACATCCATATAAAGTTTGCTATCTTTTCAACAATGTTTGGCTTACTTATAATATATTTGCATAACTAAATATAACTCATCATCTATTAAATTAGAACTGTACGGTTGACCAGAAACATCCATATAAACACTATTAAGCTTATAATAAATAACATCTTATTTACAACATCAAACTATAAACATACATATAATACAAACTAACACAGTCTTGGTTGACCCAAAGCAACCATATAAACACTAACCGGCATATAATAAATAGAGCACGTTCTATATTTCAAGACAATTTTACACTAATTGGTAATATTTATAATCGAATTTCTTATAGACATTGCGTTTTTACAGTATAACCCTAATTTATAAAGAGCAGTCTTATTTTCTGTTTGTAACAATTCTAAAAACTTATATACACTTGGTTTGATATAATAATATTTTGCTATAAATTTTTTACGTAAATCTGTATAGATAGGGCATATAATAACAAAGATTAGATTCCGTTATTTTTATTTCAATGATTTCGGCTTTTTTTTCTTTTTTTTTTGCATGCTACGTCAAAGTTGACCATCAAAGTCCGTTTTTGACGTCGTTGCGTATCATTGGCAACTGTTACGAGTATCACAACGCAGCAGGCTTGTAAATCTTTAAACAAATAAATGGACTATGTCAGGATCTGTCGATGTTTTACATATTCGTTTCACTGACCATTTAATCAGTTTGCAATTGACATGTTAATAAAACCAGAAAATATCAAATTTACTCAAAGCTTTACTATTTTATGTTATTCTGATAGACTATTATTTATTTCCTCTCATAGAAATGGGGTAATTATGAAGTACATTTTTATTCTCTATTTTATACACAGACTCAATATTTAAAAGAACACAAAATTTCATATTTTGGTAATATCTGACCTTGTTATTAAAAATATCCGTATTTTAGTAGAACAAAGTTGCCTTATGTTACGATTGTATGGATCACGGTGTATTAGTCACATTGGTATTGCATGATATACGGTCCCATACATGTCCGTATTTTAATTTTCACTTGTCTATCAATAATATACGAATTCTGTACAATTCCTTATATCCATATATTTTCCGCAGCGGTCATAATGGCGTTTAATGCCGTTAATAGCGGGATTTTGACACAGGGCCATTGTTTTAATTACAAACAAAATAACAAACGCCCTGTGACAGCGTGACTTTTATGCAAAGTTGTGGGGGAAATAAAATCACGTGTAAACCGAAAAACTTGGGTCGGCTACCCACTATTTTGTGGTCATTTAGACAGAACATACATTTCAAAGGACGTTTAAAGAAAATGATCAAACATTTATTTCAGGATTTTTTTTAATAAGCCGCTTTATAACTGAAAAAATGCGGTTAAACTGGACGTAAAATTTTACACAAAATTGACATTTTTTTCCATTTTTCAAAATTTTTTTGGTTTCTGGCGTAAAATTTTATACCAACTTAAAGGAAAAATTATATTCTGTCGAATGCTGTAGAATCAAAGATATTTTGTCTGCCTATGGCGTTGTCATATCCATAAAAGTTGCCATGGATACTCAACGACGCCATGTTCACAAACGGGCTTTGATAGTCAACTTTGACGTCGTGTGTACAAAAATTGGCTAAAACTATTGGAACAAAAGTCAACGGAATCTAATCAGAAATATGGTCAACTTTTTTACATGACAATTTTCAAGACGTTACCCAAAAGTTCGCAAAGTTTTGCCTTCTACCTTAAGTGCACCTATATTTTCGTCCCAACTAAAAACTATGCTATAGCCGATATATTGATACAGTGTATACTAATATCCATTCCGCGCGTACACTATCGCATAATCTGTCTGGAAATATGTGTATAAATCATATTTAAGTTGATTTAATGTTTTACTCAAAATTTTGATGAGTGTTTTAACTTGCAAAATAAAATATAAAATTAATATATAATTACTGATATATTTCTTTATGATAAGAAGTGAAACGCTTTTATGTAGTTTCGGGGGAAAATGATATATGTTACCTTTCGGGAAGTAAAGACATATATTTTTACAATGCTTATACAGAGACGCTTTTCATTGTGACAATATTTCACTTGTTCAGTTAACAATTTATGTGTTTACATGCAATTTATATAAACAGGTGGCGCCATTTCCAACCTATATGCTATGCTAGCTGCTCGACACGCAGCAAATCCAAATATTAAAGAGAAAGGAATGGCGAATGGTTTACAGTTTGCAGTCTTTACGTCTGTACAGGTTAACTATACTTTGTATTTAAGTTATTTTACTTTTCATTAATATTTTGTCAAAGAAAGAACGAACTACATGCACTTAATCATGAATGAAAATGCAGAAACTGTACATATCAGTTATAAAATGACTCCAATGACGATATATTCTTCTTTTTATTTACATGAAGGAATTAGGAATATTTTTTCCAATATGTGTATACCATTTAATGTACATGCATGTCTTGACATAATCTTTTTTTTTTTGCAAATTTTCAGATCATTATTGTCTCCCCGCTTTTCGTTGACTTTTATTTCTATTATGACAAACGAACTCAAAAAGCGTTTAAACGCTCTTCACTCAAATTGGACTGAGAATTGTATAGAAAATCGAATTTTAATTCTATTCTGATCATATTTCTTTGTTATACTTTGCAAATTGTTTTCATATAAGTGCTTCACTTGATTTAGATCTCAGTTGAGCTCCTTTATTCATTGTTTCTTTACTCAGATAGAACGATGTACTTCTGTTCATTTAGTAAAACATGTTGACAATGATATGCAAATAAAAAAATTAATTTCTTCAGTATAATAAATATTTTGATAATAAACATATTTGAATATCCTGTGTTGTTTCGTGTTACGTAAATATATATCAAGTTTGAGTAGCAAAGACTTGAAAGAGGATCATTTTCTTAATGTGTCTTGAAATGAACGAAACAAGTACAAATAAAGAATAAGAGATATCATATATTGATGTCATCAACTAATTAACCAATGTAAATTTGTGCATATTCTTAATGTTTTAAACCTTTGAATTTATGATTCACTGATATATTATTATAATCATTATGATTTAAATTTAAATGTATTTGAATTTTATGAAAGAAAAATGTTCAATGAGCGCGAGTTGTAATCTAAACGACAAATGATCACCTTTCTAACATTTTTCTTCGTTTCAGAGTCATTTTTCTGTCAAGAAAGCGGCAATTCTCCTCGGAATAGGTCTTAATAATGTTTACAGTATTCCCGCCGATGAAAGGTACGTGATACTTTTGCACGTGTTTTGTTATATTCATAGATCTGTTTCATCTCAAACTAAAAATGTTCATCAAAATCCTTTGTATGAGAAACGGTATTTTGTAATTTTTTTTAAGTTCGAGCTAAGCCGCTTATACAATGCATCTTGGTTGAAAATAAAATCGTTATATAGGTTAAGTTAAAAAATTCTTTTCTAAAAAAATCAAACACCATCAATATTATCTAAAGACGACGAGTTTCCAATGTTCAGTATCTGCAAACCAGAAATACTCACAAAGTGCGTTTATAAAGCAATGTAACTGTTAAAATTTCAGAGGCAGAATGCGAAGTGTTGATCTTGAAACAGCAATACGGCGCTCTGTAGAGCACCGTATGGTGCCACTCATGGTAAATGCAACAGTGGTACAACCGTTCTGGGTACGTTTGATCCCGTGAACGCCATTGCTGATGTTTGCGAGCGCTATGGAGTATGGCTTCACGTTGACGTAAGACAAAAATTTAACAGCCTTTTGCAATTATCGTTTTATATCTATTTAATACAAAACTTTAAAAACAATTTTAAAAGAATTTAGTCTTCAAATAGCAATGAATGTATAAACTCTTGCATAACCACTTGCAGAAGCGAATGTACAAGCTCCGTCATTAATATCAAATTAATATTGATATTGTTGCACTGTTTTTACTTGTCATGGTATGTAAATATAACTTTGAAAGGAACGTGTGTTTTAAATATATGAAACCATCATCATGCTTTTGTTATTAGTTGAGTACGATGTAATAATTTTTTTCAGCCTCTAAAACGTGTTAATGTTTTTTCTCATATAATGAATTCAGGGAGCATGGGGAGGGAGCGTTCTGTTTTCCGAGAAATACAGACATCTTCTACAAGATATATACAGGTTTGTTTATTTTAATTCCTACCCTTGGATCGTCAAACATGTTTTTTCCCTACGTTATTGTATTTAGTATGTTAATGTGTTTTTTTTTGTTTGTTTTTTTTTGATAAATTTTTAAACATTGTTTTCCTCGACTCTCCTTTTTCTCAAGATTTGATTCTACAATTATATAATGTCTTTTCTTGTATACATTATTTGTATAATAGTTATAACATGCTTATGTAAACCACTTGTATTATGGAAAAGAAATGCACGTACAACTTATTTGTCATGTAAATAATATTACATAATATTAATAAATTCTGCCTACAATTAGAATAATTTATTGCTCATTTTTGATAATTCATTAGCTTCTTAGCGTCACGACAAAACCAATATAATGCGTTTGCGACCAGCATGGATCCAGACCAACCGGCGCATCCGCGCAGTCTGATCAGGATCCATGCTATTCGCTATCAGTTCCTCTACTTGTAATAGGATTTGTAAGCGAACAGCATGGATCCTGATCAGACTGCGCGGATGCGCAGGCTTGTCTGGATCCATACTGGTCGCAAACGCACTGTGTTGGTTTTGTCATGGCGCGGGTCAAATCATATTTGTTTTAATCTTAAGAAATATCGAATTGATGTAGATATTTTATTTCCGCTGAAATACCAATCATTTGTTGATTTGTATGTTGACCACAAAAACAGTGTAACAAGTATAAATTAATTGTTTTCAGGGCGGATTCGATGACATGGAACCCCCATAAAATGATGGGTGTCCCATTACAATGCTCGGCAATTTTCTTAAAGAAAAAGGTACATCGTTACAATGTTTGCCTTTTATTCTTATTTTGTAATTTAAATGACATGTATTACTTTAAAGTTGCGACTTCGGAAATTAATTCGATGTTAACATTTCAACACGAAGAGAAACCTCTTTTATTGTCTAATACGGGAAAATTCAGGAAATTTAAAAAGAAATGAACTTTGGACTAAAGATATAATGGCTATCTCAGTCCATATACTTGTACCAAGTGACTTTTTTTATCTGTGGGACAGAAAACCAATACAAAAGTCTATCTATTTAAGATTTTCTTTCACAACCAATTTACTATTTTTTATGACAATTATCATTCTATTGCAAAATTTGAATGGTATTTTGAGCTAAAATCAGTTTGAAATTCACGCTATTTCTCTTTACGGCAAAAAGATTTTTTTCCAAACTTTCAATGTATCAGTTACGCCCTGTACACCAGATCCTATTGAAAGAATAAAATTGTAAAAATAGTGTTAAGTAAAATAAATCCTAGAACGGCTTGACCTTTGAATTTCAATCTCACGTAGATCATAAAAATTAATGTCATGTGATATGGACACCGTGTTTATGCTGATGGGATACGGACAAAAGCCCCCCCGGACGAAAGCCCCCCGTCTAAAAATGACAAGGTGGACAAAAGCCCCCCCCATGAAATTTACACATAGGACAAAAGCCCCCCCATAAAAAAGTAAAAGTAGGACAAAAGCCCCCCCCATAGTCAATCTAATTTACATATAGTGTATTAAAGTTGTGTTTTTTATGTGTTTTAAAGATATGTATGGACATCACATGAAGGTGACAAAGTGCTAAGGATATTAATTTGATCCCTTTGCAAAAGTGATTAAACATTACTACTCTTCTGACCCTTGTTGTGTATATGAAAATCTATGAATTTGGTATCGCATGCATGCATTATTTAATCTGTTATCATAAACTTTGTTATCACTCCAAATATACATTATAAATTAACATTAAAACAAATTCTTTTCATTTTAATTTAAAAGTTTGTGTGAAATTTTATGAATTTGAGCACCTATGCGTGTGAAAAAGATGGGGGGCTTTTGTCCTACCTGTATTTTTGATGGGGGGGCTTTTGTCCTATTTGAAAATTTCATGGGGGGGCTTTTGTCCACCTTGTCATTTTTAGAAGGGGGGGCTTTCGTCCGGGGGGGCTTTTGTCCTACACTCTATGCTGATGCCATTCTTTTGAAATTTGGTTGGCAGTCGGCCACACACTAATTTTAAAACTATTTAATTTTATTATTTGTTTTTCCCCCCATAAAATATTAATAACCTTCACTGAAAATATAATATTTGTTTTCTAAATGTGATACATGTAGTACTAGCTAACTATGTTGAAAGAAGATATTGAAAATTGTTTTTATTCAATCTTATATTTGAAAAAGTTTTAAATATTCATATTTTTAGTATTTAAAGTAATGAATAATATATATATACATTCTTGTTAACAAAAAAAATCTTGACTTTCAGATAATGAAAGGATACCAGAATTAATAAAAAAAATTTTTAATCAATTGCTCTGATATCGATTACTGGTCCGTATGATTGAGACCAACTTTTTGTGTTATAAAAATACATGTGAATATTAATTTAGATTTTCACGAAAAAGAGATCAAGTTCCTTGAAAATAAAATTGTCATGTATGTAGAAAATTTGCAATGTCATTGTGTGATTATGTGAATTTATTACAATGTTTCAGCTCAATCGACCATTGACGTTAATTTCATTGATATAATGAATTCACTGCATAATCAATTCAAATTTATAAGTAATATAATTGATACTTTTGTTCAATTAAATTGTATCGTCGGAGGGTATGAAATGGTTGCAATCTTTTTATTATAAATTAGTCAAAATGTAGACTCTACTCACTGGAAAACGACCCTATAAGAGAGAAATTCGTGTTTTAAGACACTATTTTTTACTTGAGAAATAAGTTCATGGGCGCCGCCATTTTGGCGTTATGTCATTCTCGCGAGACAGACGAGACCGAGATTGTGACGTGTTATACCCACTTCCGGTATAGGTGTACACGCTGGTACAACTGAAATATATCTTGATGAAGAACTTATTTATTTTATTGCGTACATTATATATTATTTATGAAAACATCATTTGGAACTGAATTGCTTTAATTAATTAATTTAATCATTTTGTTGAAGACGCTGCGACATAAATTATTATTTGTCAAAACTGGTACCAACAGCAACAGGTTGCCCATTCCCCTATAATTACGCATATTCTCGGGTTTATCCAGCTCCCTAAATCTTTTTTCCACGTTATCTACTTACCAAATTACTTTCCCGACAGATACGCATTACTACTACCGTAAATTTAATCCAATAAAACAAAAAATCATAAATCTACTTAATATTTCAAATGATTATTGGTAACTGAAAAAATGTGTTGCTATTTTATGACGTGCTGTAATTTACTACAGTGTGGAACCTAATTCCCCCTAAGGTCATTCAGTTCACTGATGAAGCGTAAAAAAATAGATGTCTATTTCGTCATAAGAATATTTGACAAGGGTGATTAACCAATCAGGGCAACATTGTGCATGATCAAAAGGTCTGTCGGCACAGAGGCATACAAGGAGCAATAAAAATCGTCAGTACACAGTGTGACAGGAGCATTTGGTGCAAATTAGGAACAATTAAAATGGACAATGCGCAGTATTAGACATAAGTAGTAAGAACCAGCAATTGTGTGAATAAATTATGCAAATTAGATTTTTGAGCAGCCAATAAAAATGATTTGCCTGCAGTTAATATTAGGCTATGATTACGATGCGCAGCATCATACGTTGACAGACATGTTAACAATTTACTTTTCAAAAGAGTTGCTTACATTTTTGAAATGTGTACATGAATTATAACATATGTCCACACCTTTAAATTTGAAAGTCAGAATCAAACTGTAAAAATTTAATTATATGTACTATTAAGAACACGTTTTAGTAGGGTTTTTATAATGGAAGTGGCTAGCGTACGGGCCCGTACGGCTAGCCAAAAGTTTTAGCCGTACGTGAGTCACGTACGACTAGCAAGGACATGTTGTATTGGCTAGCCGTACGGCACTTTTCAAAATTTTATGGAAGTCGAAAATGCATATGTTATTTATGACTTTAAGCGAGGATTTTAACCAAGAAACAGCATTAATTGTCTTTGGATGTTAACTTTTTAGAGATTAATCGCCTTGATCGCTATATATATATCGATCTTTGTCATCGCAAGATGTCGACAAAAAATAACCTTTGCTTGCATTTAAACACCAATTGAAATACAAAATTTTGATAATTATCCTTTTTTGTTTCATTAAGTTTAATTTTCGACACCTTTTATATGAAAAAAAAACAACACACACTGAAAATGATTGTTGTTAGGCTCTTGATAATTGCGACAATTACCGACGATACTGTATAGAAGTTTGTCCATCAAGGAAAGTTTGCATGTTCCGTGAAAGGCATACTAAAATTCTATTGTCAGTCCCTGGATAGGTTTTAATTAAGGCTAATTAATTGATTGACTGTGCTTTTATGTTCGATATTTATCTACTGCTTTGAAAATTATATAATTATTTTTGCATTTCACCGTGTTTTTTTTTCATTCAATGATCTTTTTATTTATTTATTCCACTCCGATCATTTTTTATTCGACCCATGTGCTTAAAATTAACAAAAATGATTTAATAATTCATACAAATAAAACAACAAATGATAAGCATGAAAATCAACAATTTTATAACGTTCGACATCCATATAATTTTGAAAAGTGCCGTACGGCTAGACAATACGTACAGTGCGTCCTGGCTAGTCGTTCGTGACTCACGTACGGCTAGAACTTTTGGCTAGCCGTACGTTTCTTTATTTATCATTATTATTTTTTTTTTTTGACATTGTTACGTATTTTGAACCATAAAAAATCTCCTCTACACCTCCTGTGAAAATTAAATTGTCTGGTCAATACTTTATTATATTAATATTTCCTTACGATTCAACTAGATTTATCATGAATCTAAAGATGTGGGGAAATGACATCACGCGCACCTGTTTTTATACGGCCAATACACAAACATGGCCGCGCTTACTGATTTGTAGAAATCGGTGATTTAGCGATTTAAATTTTGTTATCATTCGTTTAATATTATTATTTGGCGGCAGAAAATTTGCAGACTTATTATTTATAGTATTCTTTTTCTGAAATCAAGTTTTTATTCCAACCTTGTCTTTCACTTTTACTTGAAAACAAAAGCATACAATCGTGTATTCATTTTGAAAAAAAAACGGCCTTCAGCGTTTCAAAATATTAAATGTGTAAAAGAATTAAGATGGAAATGATTTTCGCCATCCATAAAAACATAAACAATAGGAAAACCTCTCGATACCTCTAATATATTGGTCCGCTTTCTTTAAGCCAGAAACGAGCGTCAATTACACACTATAAATAGCTATCGAAACGCTGTTTTGAAGAAATCTTCATTACTGCCGTGGTCTGGAGTAAAAACTACCACCACCACCACCATTATGAAGAAAGGTTAACAGTGATATGGTGCAACTTTTCTAAGAAAAAAAATACTGAAATTCTTACAATATAAAATAATTATATTGTCTTTTCAGAAGGTATTTTTTGACTGCAATATTTCTCAAAGATCTGCAAATGCATACCTCTCTTAGATTCTAGAGTATCTTGTGTACTGCGCTGAAAAATATACATATACTAGTAATTGATTTGTGATCCATATTTCGATTTTTGTGTAAATCAAATATTAATAATGATTTTATGACAATGTTTCGTAACTCTTAGAAACTTGTAGGTAAATTAGCAGGGCCTTATATATGCAATTTGTATTTGGGTAAGTAAACTATCGATTATTGGTTAACTTGTGTTTGACTTGATAGAAGATACATTTAAATATATAACTCTTAATTATGTACTTATTGATTGAAAATATATTAAATGTATACTGGTCCACTTCT